GTGGTTTCTGCGATCAACAACCAGTTGGTTGATCGAACATGTCCTTTGTGGTGACACAGATAATTGTACTAGTTAATACCTTCTTGCTTCCTTTCAGATTCCTACGTCAGCGGGAAATAATATATTCAGTGAATACAGGTGGCTATATACACACAATGCAATTAAGGACGCAGACGCTGACAATTCTCTCAGTTATAGACGCTGTACAAGAAACAGAAGTAGCCACTGCGTTGGCAGTGGCTAATTGAAGACCTGAGATTCGGCAAGAAATCCTACGTGTTCTGCGCACCTTGTCATGTAATTACGTAGTGTACTGTTACAATAACAATCTTCTTTGCTCGGGAACATGGGTTACACAGCAGATTTTTTTTCATGCTTATTGGTGGATGTGTAGATTGCGACGAATGACTCCGGCGTAATTGCGACTGGATAATGTTTCTTGGTGGTAATGTTTCCTAGCGTGATAAGGAGCTGTAGATAGGATCCCGGATAAGGATTCTAAAAATATCTGAAGTAGGGGCGTGTATCGGCAACTCGACGCTACAATATGTGCTGAAACTCAATGAACGGAAATATCCTTATATGGTAATAAGAAATTTTTATATTTGCTTATTAGACATACGAAAATCCCAACTCACTCCAAACATCGTGACAGTGTCAACAACACTGTGTTTTTCGTCTAATATTTTCACTTCATCATAACACTTCTTTCGCACGACATATATGTTCGACAATTATCGTGTTTACACAGCCGCTGCGTGGGTACCTATAATCGGACATACTGGCGAAAGTGCAGTGCACAGTGATGATGTCTTTGCAAAGCGCCTAACAAGTCGGATGACGGAGCTTTGTTCAAACATATAATTCTACACCGTCTACACAACAGAATGTCGCAAAAGAAGGCCCTGCAAGCGCTACTGGGCTTTTTGCTGACGAGCGGGCTATCTGAACGACTGTAATCAGAACAGACTTCCTGTGTGAGTTCTTCCTTTCTATTTCGGTGTGTGTGGGGTAGGGCGTGTTTATTTTTTCTTGTATTTTTCGCGACACACTCTTTCCAGCCCGTATATCCCCGCCCCAGTGAAGGGTCGCATACTGAATGCTAATAAATTGTTAATCTCTTAGCCTCCCTCCTCAGAGCAAGAAAAGTGGAACGAACTTGCTAAAAGATTCCCGACAAGGGCGAACACAATGAATGGAATAGCTATAAAGGGGAATGTGATGAAAAATAAGGCTAGCTTCTGACTCGTTCAGCGTATATGCGACCTGGCATATTTAAACAAAGCGCTGGCGCAAAAATACGTGGCCCTTGCAGCGAGCGAAACAACATTCATGCTGTCCTTTGCCTTAACGAAAACTGAGCTGCGGGAACACCGCACGTACAAATGTATGAGCAATCTGCGGATTAACGTAACGATGCGGCGACCACACTCGGCTGCTCAAAGTATGCAGTTACTCTGAGCCTACACAGGTCCTCCCGCTCCAATCTTCCCACACAGAGACGCACATGCATTGCAGGCCTCTATCATGGTTCTTTCGTGCCGTGACAGAAGGGCAGGCGTGTTTTGTCTCTGGTTGAGCCGCTGTCATCAGCGCTATCGTCACCTGCGAAGTGATATTATATCTCTTGCACGTTATGCGGAACCTCACGTTGACGGAAACGGTGAGAAAAAAAAGGCACCTGAAGTGTCCGTATTGCTACGGGCATGGAACGAGATTGGGCTATGTCACTGTGTATGTGGTTTGGTGACACATAAGAGAGGATTATTTAGACTGATGTATCAGCCTAAGAAAGACGAAACATTTAGAAAAGACGCACACACTGACTGATACATCAGTCTAAATAATCTTGAACTAACTCGCCCAAGCAACAGTTTTAGCATAAGAGAGGGCAAAGAAGAAGACTAGCCGATGAGCTCGTGTTTCTCGTGATCTGTTCGGCTTGAAGTACAGTGCTCCTGTGAACAGACGTTGTGTTTTATTCGTAATGAAGTAACAATATAATTGCTGCCGCAATAAAAAAACACGATTTCATTTCGCACGCACATGAGAGGTATTTTTCGCTTATCTCAACGTACAGCCCTCTTACCTGTGACAGGTCTTGGCTCTTGCAAGAGCTGTTACGAATATTGCATTGTGAAAAAAAAAGGTGAACTTATTAAACTTGCTAACTATAATTTCTGTGTCTTTTACTGCAACAATTCTTGCTGTTTCTGCTTCTCTCAGCACGAAACAGCTGACTCCTAGGTTCAGTGTATATCCTAACGGATATTGAACTTTTTTCACAGTTACCTGCGTGTTTATCATCGCGCAAATTTATCTGGGGACTCCAGCACGACGCCCAGGCCTTAGCGCTATCGCTCGCACAACTCATTTCCGTAATGTGGCGTATAATTTTTCTTGGCTCAGTTGTTCAAGCCAAAAAGGAAACAAACAAAAAGTAAGAACATAAAAAAAGTACTGGTCTATATTGTGCGCCTCTTCCTCTACCCGATAGACAAGGCACTGCACGAAAGTATTGCTGAGCACAAGATAGCCCTTTCGCTGATATGTGGAACAGTTTTTCTCAACGACTAGATTCAAGTGAATTAATATAAGTTTGTCCAGCTTATACAGTAGCCACTCCAAATCACTATATTATCACAATAAAAATAATTGTGATTACTAGCGGAACAAGTAAGAATCAAACATGCCTGCTTCTCGAGATTGGTAGGTACTAAACTTTATTGAGGTTTTGAAGAAATAGCCTCCAGTTTTCCATGAGGGAGGATGATGAGCCGCTGCATCGTCGGAATGGGCGATAAAAATAATGTATCGAACCACTAAGAGAAAGTACGCTACATAGCGGTGGTCTTTCGTGTAAGAACTTATCTTTCGCCGCAGATCAAATCCGCGTGCTTGTCAATTCTTGAACTATTTCTTATTTTTACATTGTCCTACCAACCAAGCATGGTGCAATATCACTATTGATACAGAATTATTACCACAATGTATTGGAGCACTGTTGAGCGTATGTTAAGGAACGACGAGGATGAAAAAATAGGGCGAGATAGTAGAAGATGTTAGCAAGAAAATCGTCTTATCGGTTGCGTCTAATAGGCTGAGTTAATGGCACAGGCTGGCGCTGCAGTTGTGTGCTTGTGCGGCGAGTGCCCTCTAATCACCGCCGCTACCACGTGCCAGTCGTTGAAAAAAAGTCCAGAATTCCTTGCCCTAGCGGGAAAATGGGGGCAAGCGAACCGGCGCGTATGCGTTTCTGACATACGTCCCAAATTTCCTCCTTTATTTCTTTGTCTTTTGTTTGTTTCCCCTTGTTTGCTTCTCTTTAAATTCGAAACGTGTTTTGCGTACTGCGGGCACTTTGAATCTATCTATCTATCTATCTATCTATCTATCTATCTATCTATCTATCTATCTATCTATCTATCTATCTATCTATCTATCTATCTATCTATCTATCTATCTATCTATCTATCTATCTATCTATCTATCTATCTATCTATCTATCTATCTATCTATCTATCTATCTATCTATCTATTATCTATCTATCTATCTATCTATCTATCTATCTATCTATCTATCTATCTATCTATCTATCTATCTATCTATCTATCTATCTATCTATCTATCTGCTAGTCTGTCTGTCTGTCTGTCTGTCTGTCTGTCTGTCTGTCTGTCTGTCTGTCTGTCTGTCTGTCTGTCTGTCTGTCTGTCTGTCTGTCTGTCTGTCTGTCTGTCTGTCTGTCTGTCTGTCTGTCTGTCTGTCTAAACCAGACAGGTGATTGACCATTTAAATCTTCGCAGGAACGATGAGAACTGACAACTAAGTTTAGGAGCATTAGCGTTAAAAAAAAAACAGATCGGCAGCGTTGACCCGACGTCTGGAAAGAATAAATGTCAGGACC